AGCAAAATCCAAACAAAGGAACTGGAGATAAAGTTCTTCTGAGTATAGCTCCTCCAATCACATACGAGGTCATTGTTATACGGAAGGACTTGCGAGAACAGCTGCGTCTATCATGTTTTTTTTGTTTTTTTTTTGCTTTATTGGCAATTCCCTGTAACAATACAGAGTAATTCAAACATCAAACACAGATACACAGCAGTTGGTGACATTATAACTTTAAAAAAATGAGACATATAATGTAAAAAATAAATAAAAATAAAACAAGGGAAACAAACATATAAATAAATAAACAAATAAATAAAATAAACATCAAATAATAATAGCTAGGGGTTTATATTGAGTTTATGGTCATTTAACTTTTTGCAGCTTCCTGTCCTAAACAGTCTTTAAGGAAACATATTAGAAGATGCAATATTGTATATGTGAGAGAGGAGTTGCTGTAAAACAATGGTTTGGTTTAGTCTTTAGACTTTTTATCAGCAATCACTGTGGGTAGCACAACTTGTGTTACAGAAAATAGCAGGCTTTGAAGATATGTTCTGGAGAATCTTGATTTATACCATACTACAGAACATTTCAAAAGGCTGCTGACTTTTTCTATGTTTATAGGTGAAAATAATAAAAACTACAAAAGAGCAACTTTGCTGTTCTCCATAAATGTTGGGAAAATTGTATAAAAGTTTGTTGCATAAGGGCGTGCTTTGGTTGCCCAGTGTTCAGCGCACAAAACCCATGTACAGAAAGATTCCTTAGTCCTCGACATGGATGACCCGGGTTCGAATCCTTGGCCGCATGTCTCTCCCTCTCTCATACCCCCTTTCCTGCCAGCCTACTGCCCAAAAAACGAGACACTAGTGCCGTAAAAACTCCAAAATGTGCTGTAAAAACTCCCCAAAAAAAGGCTCTTGCATAAAAGCTTCTACAACACAATGCTGTTGATGGTAGATTGTTTTAAAGGTTCAGACAGGAAAGCTTTGTAAACAAATCTAACATATCTGAGATGCCGATACCATTTACTGTGAAAGAAAGGACAACGGAGAGAAAATGTAGAGAATAATGTAGGAGTGCTGCTAGAATTCCAGTTCCCAGATCTGTGTTTTCTATTACTTCTACAACCACTAAAACTTATGTTATAAATGTACGTTATTGGCAAGTCAGACCCTGTCAGAGCTCTCCTTAGATATCAGCCCAGTTACAGTTTGCCCTGCAAAAATAATCTGCTCTCTTGAAAATCTTAAACTCTTGCCACATTTCAGGCATCGAACATAAACATTTTTTAGTGAAGAATCAACAACTAGTTTTACCCAATCATGAAGTGTAATTAAATATATTGGATATTTTTAACTTTTTTAACAAATAAAAAACTGAAGAGTGGGGTGTGCAAAATGAATCGGCCCCTTTTACTTTCAGTGCAGCAAACTCTCCCCAGAAGTTCAGTGAGGATCTCTGAATGATCCAATGTCGACCTAAATGATACTAAATAGAATCCACCTGTGTGTAATCAAGTCTCCCGATAAATGCACCTGCTCTATGATCGCCTCAGAGGTCTGTTTAAAGTGCAGAGAGCATCATGAAGAACAAGGAACACATCAGACAGGTCCGAGACACTCTTGTGGAGAAGTTTAAAGCTGGATTTGGAAACAAAAAGATTTCCCAAGCTTTAAAAATCCCAAGGAGCACTGTGCAAGGAATGCACATTTTACCTTGCTGATTCTGATTCACATTTTACCAACTGATTCTGATTAAAACTAATTTTTGAAATGAATTATATTGTGTATTTTTTTACATAACATTTGCCATTGCTAATGGCATACACAGTAATCTAGCGTACTTTAATTAAATAAATCAATTCAAGCTAAAATGTAAGAGTCTATAATTAGGTCATACTGAGCCTGATCTATTTGTACCATCTATTTGGGGGATATTTATTGCCACACTTTGGGCCACTTAATACCAATTTAGCATCAAATAAATGAGGCTGCCTACCTCAGCATTGTTGCTGACCTATGTCCTTATGACCACAGTGTACCAATCTTCTGATGGCTACTTCCAACAGGATAATGCGCCATGTTATAAAGTGAATCATCTCAGACTCATTTCTTGAAACTTTTCCACTTAAGTAATTGTGAATTGAGCATATTGACAGACAACATTTTATTTTTTATCTTAAATGCAAATTTTTTTTAAATAATTACTGCTCTAAATGTATTGCTCTGTCAGCTAAAGATCTGTTTTGGTCTCTATACTTTAATTAAATAAATCAATTTAAGCTAAAACGTAAGAGTCTATACTGAGCCTGATCTCTTTGTATCAGAGATTTTCTTACCTTTTAGAAAAATGTCACTTGGGGTAAAATTCCCCATGCAACCCTGATTTGCATTTGTATAGCTCACAGCATTTTCATTTACATGTTAAAGCCTCCCCTAGAATTCCATGGGGGGGAAGCATGGGGGGAACACTGCCTAAGAAAGCCCACGTCAATTTCTGACAATTTATGGGAGCGATACCTGCAAATTACCGTAAACTGCCGTTAACTTGAACTTCCACGACAATCTACAGTGCCGCATATTGACGAAAATCCCACTTTTCATGCAGTGGCCTTTATGAAAAATTATTGCAGTGCCCCTGGCCTTCCCATTGAATGTTGAGTGGAAAATGTCTCCGGTCCACTGTTTCCTAATCCTTTTGATATGACTGTTAGGCATATGGGTCTCCTGGATTAAATAGATATCCCCCTTAAAGGAATAGTACACCCAAAACATGATTAGCCTTCATTTTCTACTCACCCCCATGCTGAACAACACTCTGGAGTACTTTTTTGATATCTCAAATGCATCTGGAGATCTGGGAGGCTTCTTGCTGTCTGCTGACATTCAAATAATGGAGGTCTATGGTGCCCGAGACAGAAAGGTCCATAAAAGTCCACAAAAAACGTGTCAATATTCCTCCATACTGCTCGTCCAATGTATTCCAAGTTTCCTGAGTGGGTAGCATCCAGAATTTACTCGAAACGAAGTCATTTAGAATGTTTTTAGAGCATAAACAGTAGTGTATAGGATTTCCTGAAAGCGTGCACATGCGCGTTCACGACGCCACGGAAGCCGGCAGACCAAACCAGCGCATTCAGCTCGGCAAAGAACTCATGCTCTTCCTCAACACTGAAGTCCTCAGACATTTTTCTTTCGTTGTTTCTTTCTTTGCACAGGTAAACGGCACATTTCTTCTTCTACGCTTGCATTATTGGAAGAGCAGACGCTGAATGCGCACTTTCATCTGGTTTGGTCTGCCGGCATCCGTAGCGTCGTGATCGCGCATGTGCGTGCTTTCAGGAAATCCTATACACTACTGTTTATGCTCTAAAAACATTCTAAATGACTTCGTTTCGAGTAAATTCTGGATGCTACCCACTCAGGACACTTGGAATACATTGGACGACCAGTATGGAGGAATATTGACACGTTTTTTGTGGACTTTTATGGACCTTTCTGCCTCGGGCACTATAGACCTCCATTATTTGAATGTCAGCAGACAGCAAGAAGCCTCCCAGATCTCCAGATGCATTTGAGATATCAAAAAAGTACTCCAGGGTGTTGTTCAGCATGGGGGTGAGTAGAAAATGAAGGCTAATCATGTTTTGGGTGTACTATTCCTTTAAGTTGGTTTAAATGGGTCATTACACGTTGCAATTTAACAGCATTACCCAACCCCCTCACATTCCAAGAAACGAGTCTAAGTGTGGAACTTAAATTTGTTGTCATGTTTCACGGATTCTGGAGGATATGGAAATGTTACACAGGTTTCCGACATGTACCTGGTGGGACCAAGCGTAGAGTAGCAGGTATCTGAAAAGACATGAGTAGGGGAGAGAGAGAGAGTGAGAAAAAAGAGAGAGAGAGAGAAAAAAACAAACAAAATAAAATTAAACCCCATGGCCTAAAGTATCCCATACATATGTGAAAATCCAGTGTCCATTGCACATTGGTGTCAAACACCTTTAGAACTTCCAACTTCGTCCCGATCCAAAAAGTGGAAACCCCTCAGCCATGTGTGGAGCATTCCGATGATAATTATATAAATTCAACCCTTCTTTGTCATAACTAGTTGCACCAGAACAAGTCATCAACGATAATAAAGGCATTGTAGTAGGAAAAAAAGAAAAAATAAAATAAAATAAAATAAATAAAAAATTAGAAGAAGTAAACAAAAAAGCTATATTAATAATTTAAAATGACTAAATAAATTAGATAAACGTAAATAATGATAAATAAAAACCGTAGTAAATAAGTAAGATTTACTCAAAAAGGTAACAAATTGAAAAAAAAAATAAATAAATAATAAAAAATAAAAAGTTACAGAGGTTTGTTGCAAGAAAATTGCCATATTGTTAACGATTGTTTTCTAAAAAGACATGTCTTAAGTAATCTTGGTTACATTTCCAAACACACAGGAACTAGTCAGACTGTGATTACTATAAATAGCAGAACCATTTAAAGGAGCTGCTAAAATGAAATGTTCTACTATTCTTTGGTACCAGCGGAGAATTCTCATCGAAAAGTAGGGCGGTTAAATCTCCCCTGTAAATTTATTAAAATTATTGGTAAGATATTGTCAGAATGGATTGTTAAAATGCATACATTTTTTTGCTAAAATACACCTGATTTCATGAGTATGTTGTGCATTAATCAGCTGTTTATTTCGTGTCTCGGACCAGATCTCTTGTCTCTCGGACCCCCCGCTCTGGAGCAGCAGGATGCTGCCAGTCAGCCTTTATGAGAAATCCCTGTTGAGGTTTGAGGCTGAGGTCTATTGAGGGAAGCAGTGACAAAGGAGAGACCTGGTTGGATAAGACGCCAAAATATGTCACTTCTAGTGAGTCTCAGCCTCTTAAGGGACCTGAAGCTGGCTGCTCAATGCTGATTTGCCAACACACTTACTGGTTTTTGTGTCATCAGACAGAGAGGAGGTTTAAACCTTGAGTCTAGAGGAAAAATTGATCATTCAATCAGAGCAGTCATCTTGTGCTGAACACTTGCCGTGGATTCTGGAGTTAATTTCAGAACACTTCTAGACACGTATTTCCACGCATTGTAGTGATGTGTTTTGTGTTTCAATATTTGTTAATGCAATACGTGACTTTGTATTTATTTAATACTGTTTAGCCTCCCGTGTTTCATAGAACAGCAGCCACCACTGTTTAGTACCCTTCTTGCACAACAGTCATGGTGAGTACTGTTGCAGCTTTGTAACCACATCACTTTTCTGGGTTCAAGTTAAGTTTTAATCTATTCTGCTCTTTTCCTAGATGAGTAGAAGAGGTAAGTCTCCTTTAGTAATTTCCAATACGTTTTGAATTTGCGATTCCACCAAAACACTAAGACTATTTCTTTTTTTAACTTTTAGCACAGCAGCGTTTGAAAGATCAAAACCATTTCAGAACAAATGCCTTTATCATTATAGACAGCATGCTTGAATGGTGCACCCAAACTGGCAGAACAGACTTGCTGGATGAGGTAGGCATAAACTGTTCAATTTTACATTTGGGTCACTTTTTCATTTCCTAAGATCTTTGTTTCTTCTTTTTTTTTTTTTTTTTTTTACATATAGATCCTTCATGGTATCCTCTTTCTTGGGAAAATAAATAAACCGCCCTTCTCTCCAGAAGAGATTTTTCTTGATCTGTTGAGTCATTTAGCAGCAGAGTACCCAAGACCTTTTGATCACTATATGACCCATCTTCCCAGGCGGAGTCCCTTCTCCTGTGTTCTGGATATGGTAAAATGTTAATTCCTGTAGAAATGACATGAATATATACTAACCTAAAACAAGGATTTCAAAAAGTGAAAATACTCATAATTATTCTTATAATTATTTAGGTGGATCTGGATGCAGCCAAGTAGTGTAACGGGATCATAAACACAACTGCAAACCTGTGACAAAGTGTCTCAACTTTGATTTAGGTTGATGGCACTAAATGTAATAAAAACTTCTGAACTCTCATATTTTTCACTTCATATCCTAAACCTTAGACGTTTGTTTTCTTTCACCGTACTTCCACAAGTTTCTGACAACATGATCAGTTTTCTAACTCTTTTAATAAATGCGTCGCATCCCTGATCCTGTCACAAGGGCTGCTTTTTAAACCATATTGCAACATTTAGTCTTTACCAACTGGGTACATACAGGAAAAATAAAACACTATTAAATTAACTTATTTTTCTGATGGAAAAAATTCTGAAAAAAACAATATGTTGCTCAAGTGTCAGATAAATACTTTACTCACCTCTGAAATGTATTATAAAATATATTCATTTAGGAACAAATAATGATTCTATTAATGCCTATGATACCTAAAATATACACACTGATATATTTCTATACTAATAACTATAACTGCTTACAGGTTGTTCATCTGACTCAACCACAAAATGAAATGGAGATCCGGAGGATTTTAAAAGATCTTGTCGACAACTTGGAAAGAGGTTTTTTGGTCTCCACTGCCATCTGCGTGTCTCAATACAAGAATTCAGTCAAATATGGAGTCTCTATGTCCACCACTGGTTCAATTGCACGCAAAATTGTGACTGCTGCCTCCTGTTTAAGCTCTTACTGGGATGAATATGTAGCTGATGCAGTGATGACCTTTAACCTTTCTGATCAGACCAGGAGAACCGACTTTGATGGAACCTTTGTACTTCCTAGAAGTGTCACATGCAGGGCATATTATGTTAACATTAACAGAATACTGCCACCTTGCGGCTCTTGTGGGGAGCTCTTTGGCTTGCACACAAGATCTGGCAATGGGTTTCCTTATGGCAACTGTGCTGAAGCTGAGAGTCTGAGCAATCTATTTACAAGTCATCAAGAAATGAGAAAGCGATTTCGGCCAACCTCTGAGTTTTATACAGAACAGGGCAGAGAGGCAGCCAGAGCTGATACCCTAAGGGTTCTTCTTAAAATGTTACAAAGGGTACGCTTTAACACAGAGAGGATTGAATACTACACACCTTAAACACAAAAGACTATGAGATGTTATTTTATCTACTTTATTTGATTCCTCATTTACCGACTATATGTCAGCTGATTCACCATATGCATCGTTTATACACAATGTCTTGTTAACTCTCAGCCAAAATTCCTTTTTTTTTTTTTTATTATCTTCTAGATGTATCAGCCTATACTACTTTTTTATAAGATGTACTGTAAGATGGCCTGTTTTCACAATCCCAGACCTCAAACTACATTCAGCACTTCTAGGGAGGCATGTTGACACAAACTAATATACTTAAATGTATATGCATAAATATGTAACCTGATGTAACAGTTGAACTACTTATCCATATTTGCTATGGAGGATTTTGCATTTATCTTTCCTTGTATCTTTATGTAATGCTTCATGTCTTATTAATAAAAAGATCCTCAGTTAGATTTAAAGAAATGTATCTGTTTCATACCACTTGATCATAAAGGGACTAATTCAAATCCTGGCAGTCAATTTTGGAGAAGCAGGACCAGCTCAAACAAACTACTTTACAGCTGCCAATTGATGTAACATGAATCATTTCAATTTTAGGAGGAAGCAGGATTATCAGCAGTAAACCCACAGATGGAGTAGATCAGGGCTGCCAAATTCCAGTTTTAAGGGATACTTTCCTTCAGTTTGTAGATTCATCCATTCTCACCAGAATTAAGCATCTAACTGCACAACCTGAGTGTGCTTGAACTTGAGGACACTAAGGGATGGACAGATATTTTTAAGATAACCTGGTTTCTATCAGTCTATCACTCTTAAATCCAGGTCCTAAAACCACCAGTTTCATTGTATGATATTAAATTGACCATGTTTGACTGTTACATTGTTACTTAATAAGAAGTTTAACTTAAGAGTGGAGCAAATCTTCCAAAAAGTTAATCTTCTTCGGATTCCCGAAGAACTTGTGGATATTCAATATTATCTTTTGCAAATGTTTGGTGGCCCTTTGGGTTGTTTTTTGTCGGCAGCGGCTAATTGATGGCAAGTTAAGCTGGCAATTTAGATGATGTTCTGGGTTCTTCATGACTTGCTTGACAGACATTGATGTAATCTTGTAGTGAGTTATTTTGTGATCAATCACTTGTAGTAATGTTCATGACTCTTCTATATTTTAGAAATTAACTTACTATTGTTTAATTGAGTCTTAAAGTCTTAGAAACGGAATAACAAATTCCCCCCCAATTTCCTGATTATCTATTTTATATGTTATTGAATTACGATGATTCAGACTATAATGTGTTGCTTATTGTGGTCTTTTAGTCTACTCCATGCAATCAGACAGGTTCTGCTGGACCTCTAGATAATAAACATCAGGACTGTTGAGGTATGATGGTAGTAAGGGGAATTGCACCATAAATGTGAATTATCTCTATTAATTTGGATTTAACAAGGCTGTTGTATTTTCGTTAAAGGTCAGGTTGGCCTAGCAAGCTTTTTTCCTAAACCAATTAACCCCTAAAAAGAGGGAGAAAGGAGCAAATACTACTCCATGACAAAGTAAATTTAAAGAAGTAAAAGAAACACAAACCTCTTAAAAGATTTAAATAAGATGGTATAAATAATATAATTTTAGTTTAGAGCAGATAATCTGCTTTTATGCTCATTGTTCTCTATGGTGTGAAAAAGTGTTTTCTGATTCTTAATGTTTTTGCCTGTGTGGCAAGGTGCTTGTTAGAAATATTTTATTTAACTTTGTTTGTGTTTCATGGGTTGTGTTCTAATGAACTATTATGATGTATAATGTGTGATTCATCTTTTATTAACTCTTGCTTAAGATTGTTTCAGATAAAAGGTCATGCAACGGATGGGTTGTGGAAGAGGCTTGAACATCCTCTATCACATGTTGCGTTGTAAAAGAGACCTGAACAGCCTCTATCACATGATTCTTCTAAACATGTGTTCTTGGAACAATTCAATTGTAAAACAACCACATGCTTTGTTTTAACATATGTGCTGAGGTTTAAAGTAAGATCCTTTTGTTTCCCTTTCCCTTAGTTAAACCTCAGCTTGTGTAATTAGGGACATCCCCTTTCTTCAATAAATGGCGAGGAGAAAGCTGAAGACTGCAGAGTGGGTGGAGATTGTAAACTCTGCAGTCCCTTCCTAATCTCCTCGAGTAACTAAATTAATTGTCTCTGTGTCTTCTTTCTTTCCCTGTATGTATGTATGATGTTTTAGGTGCTTAGACTTGACAGTGCTTCAGGCAACCAAACTAAATTAGTCGAAGATAACAAAAGTTCAAACATAAGGCAGTTTTCAGTGAAGCAATTTTACTAAAGGAAAATTTAATAAAAATCTACATGACTAAGTGTAAAAAATTTATTGTTAGGATACACACCTTCAAAATAGTTCAACTTTTGTCTCGTCCCCCACAGAATCTCCTGAAAGTCTTTGAAATCATTAAATTTTGTTCTGGAAAACTGAGAAAAACCTTTGTTTCTGTTCAGCAGTGGATTAAAAAAATAAGGTGGATAAATTAGTGAAAAAAGGAGGAAGTTGGTGCATAAATAATAATGTTTATTATCAGTAACACTGGCCCTGCAACAGATTGGGGACCTGTCCAGGATGTACTGTGCCTTTTGCTCATTGACTGCTGGAATGAGACACTAGTCACACCATGGATGGATGGATGGATGGATGGATGGATGGATGGATGGATGGATGGATGGATGGATGGATGGATGGATGGATGGATGGATGGATGGATGGATCAATAAATTGAAAGATGGGTGGATGGATGGATGGATCAATAAATTGAAAGATGGGTGGATGGATGGATGGATCAATAAATTGAAAGATGGATGGATGGATGGATGGATCAATAAATTGAAAGATGGGTGGATGGATGGATGGGTCAATAAATTGAAAGATGGATGGATGGATGGATCAATAAATTGAAAGATGGATGGATTGATGATGGATGGATGGATCAATAAATTGAAACATGGATGGATTGATGATGGATGGATGGATGGATCAATAAATTGAAACATGGATGGATTGATGATGGATGGATGGATGGATGGATGGATCAATAAATTGAAAGATGGATGGATTGATGATGGATGGATGGATCAATAAATTGAAAGATGGATGGATGGATGGATGGATCAATAAATTGAAACATGGATGGATTGATGATGGATGGATGGATCAATAAATTGAAAGATGGATGGATGGATGGATGGATGGATGGATGGATGGATCAATAAATTGAAAGATGGATGGATGGATGGATGGATGGATGGATGGATCAATAAATTGAAAGATGGGTGGATGGATGGATGGATGGATCAATAAATTGAAAGATGGATGGATGGATGGATGGATCAATAAATTGAAAGATGGATGGATTGATGATGGATGGATGGATCAATAAATTGAAACATGGATGGATTGATGATGGATGGATGGATGGATCAATAAATTGAAACATGGATGGATTGATGATGGATGGATGAATGGATGGATGGATCAATAAATTGAAAGATGGATGGATTGATGATGGATGGATGGATGGATCAATAAATTGAAAGATGGATGGATGGATGGATGGATGGATGGATCAATAAATTGAAACATGGATGGATTGATGATGGATGGATGGATGGATGGATCAATAAATTGAAAGATGGATGGATGGATGGATGGATCAATAAATTGAAAGATGGATGGATGGATGGATGGATGGATCAATAAATTGAAAGATGGATGGATTGATGATGGATGGATGGATGGATCAATAAATTGAAAGATGGATGGATGGATGGATGGATGGATGGATGGATGGATGGATGGATGGATGGATGGATCAATAAATTGAAACATGGATGGATTGATGATGGATTGATGATGGATGGATGGATCAATAAATTGAAAGATGGATGGATGGATCAATAAATCGAAAGATGGATGGATGGATGGATGGATGGATAGATCAATAAATTGAAAGATGGATGGATGGATGGATGGATGGATGGATGGATGGATGGATCAATAAATTGAAAGATGGATGGATTGATGGATGGATGGATGGATGGATCAATAAATTGAAAGATGGGTGGATGGATGGATGGATGGATCAATAAATTGAAAGATGGGTGGATGGATGGATGGATGGATGGATGGATGGATGGATGGATGGATCAATAAATTGAAACATGGATGGATGGATGGATGGATGGATGATGATGGATGGATGGATGGATGGATGGATGGATCAATAAATTGAAACATGGATGGATGGATGGATGGATGGATGGATGGATGGATGGATGGATGATGATGGATGGATGGATGGATGGATCAATAAATTGAAACATGGATGGATGGATGGATGGATGGATGGATGATGATGGATGGATGGATGGATGGATCAATAAATTGAAAGATGGGTGGATGGATGGATGGATGGATGGATCAATAAATTGAAACATGGATGGATGGATGGATGGATGGATGGATGGATCAATTGGTTGGTTCAACAGTTTTAAAAGATAAAAATTTAATTTGAAAATCACTAACTTGCATCCGTTGCACAACCAAATAAAATGCCTCTTTGAATCATCCTCCTTGGCTGTGTGAATTCTGAAGCAGGTAAACCGTCTGCAGATTAGTTTTACACATGCTCTAACTGCATTTTTTTCTAAGCCAAATTAACACCCAGAAACAGGCCTAGATAGACCACTTACCCTTTTTCTGCTGAACACATTTTTGCACATCAGTTTTGGTGCAAAAACACATACCTTCTGTGTCATTAGCTTAATCTAAAAGCTCTGTTCAGTTTAGGAAAAGTTATATTTATTCAACTGTTACTTTTCATTAAGCATTAAGATCCCAACAGTGGATAAATATGTTCCTGTTAGTTGAAAATATAAAAAATTAATTGTAATATTATTTAAGAAGAGCTAAAAAGCAGATGTTTGGTTCTTATCACCAATGTAATAAAACTACACCAGAATTGGACAGCCCACATAGATAGCTCACTAAACTACTCTGTCCAGCAGGGGGCGCCAATATTCTACCTATCCAAAAAGATGCATTAGTCCCTACAACTCGCTGGCTTTAATTAAATCTTGTATACTACGAAGTATAAAGGCTGAACCAGTAACTCATTTTCTTTCAGACCTGAGTCGGTTCATATTTGGCCCTGGACTATAATAGTAAATATAACCAACATTAATAAATAAATGTTTGATAAATAAATAAGCATACAATTACTTGCCCCCCAAAATACAATAAGCAAAGTAGAGGTAGAAATTCAATTATACAGTGAAACATAAATGTATATATCTCTTTTAATTAGCTTCTTTATTTGCTCGCCTTTGTAATAATTACCTTATTTATTTAATGTCCATTGTAATCTTCAAATTGATTTATTAATTACTTATTTTTTCAAGTATTTAATTATGTGTTATTAGTAGTCTCTAAATATTATAAATATAACATGCACATAATTAAATAAGGTAATTATTACAAAGGTGAATAAATAAAGAAGCTAATTAAGAGATATATACATTTATGTTTCACTGTATAATCATGTCTACCTACATTTATTTATTGCATTTTTGGGTGCAATTAATTGTATACTTATTTATTCATGTATTTTTTTTGTATTTATTTTTAAATATGGTAGAGCTGGTCCTCCATACATTTCAGGATCAGTTTAAGAGTTAACACTTAGGCGTTGCCTTTAGGAGAAAAAAAGTTTATCTTTCTGCTTTCAGTTTCTTTCTTAGACTGCAGCCATGGTGAGTAACAACTTTCAAACCCATCATATTGTTCCGATTTTTTACCTTATTTCAAATGATCATCTTATTTAAACCTATCCTGCATGTTTTCTTTCTACTTTGATTTCTAGGCAGGAGAGCAGAAGAGGTGAGAATTGATCCGGTTAAAGACGTTTGCATCATGATGCGTTCACGGTCGTCAAAATTAACAGATCTCTATGTTATTTTAGTCGAGAGAAATATCTGCAAGACCAACAGTCTTTCAGAACAAACGCCTTCCTGATCATAAAGGAGATGGTCCACTGGTGCAATATAACCGAGGGAGGTAAAATCCTTGTGGATGAGGTTGGTAAAAGCTGAAGTCTAAATCAACTGCATTGTTTAAGTTTTTTGTTTTTTTCAGATTTTTTATTTTCATTAATCACAGATTCTACACAGCATCTTTTTTCTTGGAGAAATAAATACACCACGATTCCCACCAGAGGAAATTATTCCTGATCAGGAGATTCTCGATCAACTGAAGGAGAAATACAACCGACCCTTTGATTGCTATAGGACTCATCTTCCCAGGCGGAGTCCTTTCTCCTGTGTTCTGGACATGGTAGGATGTGTCTTCCACCTCAATAACACTTCAGTTAAACATAAAATAATATCATCTAAATAATCCTCATCAACCTGAAGTGAATAAAACATAATGTGAACAATAATAAAGTCAGTTTTCATTAGATTCCAGCACACATAATAAAAGCAGGCTCAGTTTTACATTCTAAACTATTTATATAGTAAAAAATAAGATAGTAATCAAATTAAGTCTAATTTACATTTCTTTTTTTATTAGACTTTATCATTCATGTGAGAATTATTATTGTTTTGTTGGTAAAGCCACCAGCAGCAGCAAGATTCATCTTTTGCATTAATCTCATTTCTATGTTTTGATGGCTATCATTTGTCTGAACATGTTTTTTTTTCTGAATAAAATTAAAATAAAACCAAATAACATTCAACATTACAGATAAATCCCTTAACTATTTATTTCATCAAAGTCAACTTGCATCCAAAACCACACAAATCCACATCCAGATCAGCCTGCAACCCTCATAAAGCAGAAAACAAACTGGTCAGGTCACCCAACAATACGGCACATCCTCAGGAAACACTTTGATCAAGATGAGCTTAGTTTAACATTAGAATATTAGAGATTAAGATAAAGAATATGAAGGCTTTAGATAATCCACATTATGCAACCCTGCAGGCTTCATTAGTTCATCAAACCCATGTGTTTTTGTTTTTGTTTTTTTCTTTTTTTCTTTTTTTTTTGAGTAATACAATTTTTTGGATCTATTAAAAATCCCCCCCCCCCCCACCTCGACCCCAAATGTATGATATTGATTTATGCTCTTGACCAGAGCTGTATGTTTATGTACTATCATACTTCATAGAGAAGCTTGGAAAAATTATTTTATGTAGTCATACTAAATTTTTGTATTTTTTTTTTAAATTCAGATGAAACAGTAGGTTGTGGTGGAAATGCACTAACCCCATGGTTTCTTATAATTGCTTCCAGATTGTCTTGCAGAAGAAACCTGAAAATGAAAACCAGATAAAACAGACATTGATGGATCTGGTTAATAGATTGGCTGCAGGATTTCTGGTCTCCTCCACTATCTGTATCTCCAAGTCCAACAAATCAAACAACCAATATGGAGTCTCCATGTCCACCACTGGTCGCAATGCTGGTAGAATAGTGATCGCTGCCTCCTGTTTGAGCTCCTACTGGGATAAGTATGTAGCTGGTGCAGTGATGACCTACTATCCTCAGAAAAAGAAGAAGAGTTACTTCGATGGCACCTTCGAGCTACATGGAGACGCCACATGCACAGCATACAGCATCAAGGATGGTTCTGAAATGGATCCTTGCAAATCATGTGGGAATCTCTTTGGGTTGCAAACAACTTGTGAAAAAGAGTGGCCCTATGGGAATTGTGCTGAGGCTGAAAGTCTGAGCAACTTATTTAGAAATGATGCAGAAGTTAAACGTAAATCTAGGCCAACCTCTGATACATGCACACCAGAGAACAGAGAGAGAGCCAAAGTTGATACTCGAAGGGAGCTTACAAATACCCTGAAAACGATCAAGTTCAACACATGGAAAGGTGAATTTTACAGAGCATGAGTACAATGTCCTTAAACACAAGCTAGCTTCTTATAAGAGTCTCGCTCACTATCATTAAATATACCTTGATATACCTTGTTATATCATCTTGTATTGTTAATTGCTTATTAATTTGGTGAAATAAAGCAATCTTTATTAACTTTTTTATTATAATGTATGTAAACTTTTTTTTTCTAGACATAAAAAAGAGCCTCCACTAGATTGCAGTAAAATGATATTGAAATAATTTTACGCAGCTTGCAAAGCTGTGGTTAGTTTCTCCAGAATTGTCAAAGGGTTTTTGATTAAATATTCATTTTCATTCATATTTGTTGGTTGAGCTTCTTAAAAAAAAAAGGGAAATCGTCTTTATTGTTCTCTGCAAATCTATGTTACAAATGAAATTTGACCTCTGCATTTAATCCATCCTTTAGGTATTTAGGTTTTCAAAATAACAAACAGGTAACAATCGCTGCCTTTTAGTTTGATCATCAAAAATTGTTCTTTTGTAAAGCTGTATGAAATTACTGTAACATATTTTCTTTCTTTGTATTTGCATTATAGGCTACATTTGGCAAATTTAGTCTGATGATAAACAACAATAGAAAAAACCTGGAATTCATTTGTTTGTTTTTTATTCTTTTTGATAAATATTTCTACAGTTTCTAAATGTGTAATATTTTTTACAGTCTGTTTCTTTATTTCAGTTTTGTGCATTTACTGTTTAAATCAACAACACTGGAAAGGGCTTCTAAGAAATCACGTGGATTAAGAAATGTGCTGTGTCATAATATTTGGCTTCAAGTCAAAAAACGGTTAGAACCGTGGAGACCAAAGGTAGTGAACTTTGGTTCGATTGGACATTAAATGGATTTAATGGCCACTTAAAGGGCTAAAATTCCGTATTAAAGTACCTAACAAAAATGTCTGCTTTTTAGAGCTATTGATGTTGGCTCAGAAGTTTCTATTCTGCACCTATCTGTCCCCTTTCCAACAGTCCGTGAAAGCATCATAACTTTGCCTATAAAGGTATGGTATGCCGTTTAAGATAAAATCGGCGTCACCACAAATGGAGTCCTGAAATTTTAAATAACTAGAACGAGTAGTTTATTAATATATACGTATCTAATCATATTTTATCGAGTATAAGTGATGTCAGATCTACCATTTCATTATTTGGGTTTAATGAAGGCTCTCAACTAAGATACTTAAAGTAAATACTGACTGATTCAGATATCAACTTTCTCATCATTAATCATTAGGCAGATTTAAGATATTTTGTTTTTTCTTCTGACATAATTCTAAATAAAGATAAATCAAATGCCACAAACATCCAAGAAATCCTGAAGTTATTTTTAGATATAAATTCCAATAGGGGACGGGCACAGCGCGTTGCATTCTGGGTACGCCGCCATATTGACAGCTAGTTGCTACGGTAAACAAAGACCTAAAACAGCACAGAGACGAGTAAACAGCGATGTTAAAAGCGAAGAAAGGATGCGGAATATACCGAGACACACTGCAGAGGGAAGCCAGGGACCGTTATCTGCAAAAGATGGGCTTCATAAACGGACTTGATCCCTACGAAGTAGCAAGCAAGGAGTGGTGCGTTGGGGAAGAATTTCTACCGCCGTTTGCGAGGGAGGACATATTTTCCTATCTAGTGTGTGGCGTCAGTGCCTACACACATGAAGAATTTCGCTGCTACAAGTCGCTAGAGGCTTACAAACAGCTGACAGATGGAAAAGTTCACGACATGGAAGTAATCAAACCCAATGAGAACACAGTCATTAGATCCAAGGTAAGCTACCGTCTCAACATGGTGTGGTGTTTGTTGTGGTGATAAGACTAGGTGCAGGCACTAACGTAAAACATCAAAAATGTATCTAAACAAATCTTGTGCTGACTGTACGTGTCCTGGGATACTGTAGTTACATTCTGATGATATATGACTGTCCTACCATGGTACTATGTTGTATGTATGTTCTGTAACTTACCAGAATGAAAATGCCGGGAACACACTCTCATGGACACTGGGATTGAGTTGAAAGTTATATTTGGCCGTCTTACAGCAGCGACCCATGCTAGCCGGCGACTCTTTGTTATGGAGGACATTTGTTTTCCATTGAGACGCCTCCAGGTTGGAAAACGGTAAAAAGACAATCCATTTGGGATTTTTTCCCCCGTCCAGTCACAGCTTGCGCTACTACACCCTACGACACAGCAACGGGTGACCATAACGACAGCAGAGGTAAAATGAAACGGCAAAAAACTAAGCAAACTACTAGCAGAAGAAAGCAAGTCCTTACAGGCGCGAAGTCGAAGTGTAAACAGTGGGCTGACCAGCTTTCAATATGGCTGCCGCGCAACGTGTGACGTCATGTGCCCGTTCCTTATTAAACTGTCAGCCTTATTTCATCCACTTAAATCTCCACAGGGGAAAATATGGACAGCTCAGTATTTCTTTATTGCTGATACCTAAATATGTCATTTGAAAGCTCATTTAATTTGAAAATATTTTTTTAGAAATCGAGAAGCACCTCGCTGCAGCAAACAGAAAGGGGCGTTTTAGAAACTTTATTGCTTTATAATAAAGAGAGAAGTACAATTTCCAGTGAACAATCGCCAGGGGTTTGAGCAAAAAGTCTTAAATAAAGAAATTGATAAAAAGTTACTTAATAAAAGTAAAAAATTGCGATAGTAAACAGAAGCATTTAAAGTGATGACATAAATACTTTAAATTTAGAGCACAAAGATAAAGTTTTAACAACATTTTTGTTATGGTTCGTACAGGAAATAGTCTCACTAGGGCCCCCTTCATCTCCGGAATAAAATAGTCCCATATCCATATAAGGTATCGGACTGACGGAAAGGTCCGTCCCCGCCCCTTTATGTTTGCTGCTGCGACGTGTAGTTGGTTTTGTCGGACGAAGGGGATTTTATGATAAACGACCTGCCACAGCGGAGTAAACTCTCGCCGTGATTTTCTACGGACGTTGGTCTGCAGTCTTCAACTAAGGTTGTTTAAAATGAACTGTGTCCTAAAGTGGAATTACTCTAAACTTTGGTAAGAACAGAAATAATGTCAGCTTAACTCTGACGCAGTGTCATTGTCTGAGGATGTTGTTCTAAAGGGAAACCGTTTCTTTTGTCACATATCGGTTTCGTTTTCACACTGGGACTGTATTTCTAAATATTTCCCCTTCAATAAAACCACAACTATAACATGTTTAATGTAATTTAAAGCTTGAAAGAAATGTTATATTTCAATGATGATTTTGTTACATCCTGGACTGGCTAAAAATGTAACTATATTTTAGGGGTGTATAGAGGACCAACCCTGCCATATTTAACAATAAATGCATAAATAAATAAATACTCAATAAATAAATAAGCATACAATTAATTGCCCCCAAAAATAAACAAATAAATGTAGGTAGAAATTAAATTATACAGTGAGACATAAATGTATATCTTTTAATTAGCTTCTTTAATTATTCACCTTTGTAATAATTACCTTATTTCTTATTATTTTTTAATTACTTATTATTTTAAGTATTAATTTATTTGCATGTTATAATATTTTTGTCTGTTTCATTCTTTGTTTGTATTTTTTAAACTATTTCTTCAATGCTATTTATTTCTGCCTGTTGTTTTTACAGTTCTGTATGCATTTCTGCCTCATTATGCAAATGAGGAGGGAATTGTCTTAGAGGGTCAACTTCTGCCCATTAGTTGGCAGCTCATCTTCTTAACTTACAAAACTCAGAGTATTAAGTTAAAACTTCTTTTTTCTGGTGCTGTTCTTCAATAAAAATGCGTTTTAAGATCATTTTAGGTGAGAACATTATTTAAGCGTCACTATATGGTCCATCTACCGATTTAAAGCGTACTTTAAAAAATGTCCAAAGGTAAGAGGACCGCGGCAACCAGTGGACCTCCAAGGGTAACAGAAGCGAGGTCTAATCGCAGACCTACCATATTTTTAAACTTGGTAGAGCTGGTCCTCCATAGCTGTAAAAATAAATCTAACAATGATAAAGCCTATTGATGATTAACAAATGACATTGATGCAAAATCCATGTATTTTTCCACATAGTCATCTCATGAATACAGTACTTCAGATCCAGCAGGAACCTGTCAGCAGGGCTTGATATTGATTTTTTTTTTTTTTTTTTCACTTGCAACAATTTTGTTTGTCGGAAAGCTGTTTCTCATGATTATAGGTGACTAAGAGGTGCTAAATTTTGTCTGATCTGGATTAATAACATTTTTAAAAGACCCTTCTGCACAGATGCACATACATATAAATACTACTTAAAGTCATTGTCAAGTATTCAGCTCTGATAAGGTTCTTTGTAAATCTGCTTTCATATGAAAATATGCAGATTAAAAAGTGAAAAAGAAGCATTGTTTCTTATTGCTGAATTAAAGTTGTGCAGGGAAACAGATTTAAATAAAAAATTAAACTAAACTGAGTAAAATTTTTATTCACAGCAGTAAATACTAAGTGAAATATCCACTAGCAAAGGTCAATTTATTGTAAAATATTTATGCATATAGTAATACAGAAAATGAAAAAATATTATAGATGAAACTAATAACTATCACTATATATTAAAATATTTATATAACTATGTAATCAAATAATAACTAATATATTGTATGATCTACTGCATAGCTGTGGCACTGCACCTTAAAGCGGTCCGTTTGTGTGAACTGTTTAATAAGGACGTTTTGAAATATAAATCAAATATTACATTTTGTTTTCCTAAATGTTTTCAAGCAACTGCTCCAAACAAGCAGCATAAGCAGCTGCGTTCTCCATGACTGCAGATATTTTGATGGGAATTCCTCATTCTTTTTGAAAATCATTCATTATTGATTCTGCACAAATATCAACATTATGTCATAAAATACACCAAAGACACACAAAACATAAGATAAGACACTTAAAAATGTTTAAAAAAAAAAACCCCACCTTATTCAGGCTGAAGCATCTTTGATTTGTTGCCTTTACAAGCTTTAAGAATTTATTAAAGAGAAGATTTTAATAACTTTGTGCTTGTATTTCATAAAAAAAATTTAAAACAAATTTACAGTAGGTCTATGTTTTGCATTAGATTGCTCATCTATAATTATACTTTTTTAATTTTTTTAACTTTTTTTTACTTTTTCAATAAGGTCAAACTCTAAATTTGAGTAAAACTGTAGATGAAGCAAATATTGAGCTGTATGTTTTATGTTTGTTCTTTAGGTGACAACGAGTGAGAATGGCAGTGGCTACGTTTAGCAGAAGGTATGAAAACGAAGAATAAGTTTCCCTTTGTTTTAAGTGAATGCTGACTTCACTGTGTTTTCCATCATTTTAAGTAATTGCTACCTTTGTGTGTTTATGAAGTCTGCCTTTGGTTGTTATAGATCCTAAACAGAATTTCATTTGGGATTTCTGCATCTACAATCATGCACCATATCTATAAATGATGATTTAGTTATAGGTCATTTGTGCATAATGTGTGAAACATTAACACTATTGTGGATAACTTACAGAAAATCTGCGCAGATAAATTACATTGATATTTAGCAAAATCTGATCTGTCATTTTAATCTAACAACACGCTT